GTTTCTTTCTCTACTACTATCCTGGCAGTGTTTCACCCATAGACATATATATGTAGACGCCACACAGACTGTGTCAGCCTGTTGCCTGGATGTCAACAGCGCCGCCATATTGGGAAGCGCAAGACTAACCTGTAAACACATGCAAGCAAACCGGGGAGCTGCAGTGTTTCTTGATAAAAAGCCCCGTAACATTTATTTTTCTCAATCAATTGCAATGAGTCATTTTTATATGAATTGGTTTATGAATCTGTGGCCAGTGGGGCATGCTTACATATCTATGGTTACACCGTCAGGGCCTGAATTTTCAACTATCAAACCTTTGCTTTCATTTACAAAACAAACCAGCCCACATTTAAACATTCTAATCAAATGTGAAGGATTTGATTTTAATCCCATTTGTGAATGTACACAGATCAACTATTCTGTTTCACTGGAAAAAACATAAAAATACAGAATCTAGAGACGCTTTAACTTCAGTTTCACTTAGACATTGTGACTATGTTTACAGTATTCTCAATTTTTTAATTAGCTAGCTATAGCTGTTAAACTCTGCCAGACAGTTGTCATTTGCGCTAGCAAAATTGAAAGTTGTTGGCTAAAATGAGAAGCCCGCTTTGGTCTGCCTTTGTTTCACCAATTGTTTAAAAAATTGTGAAGCATTTATCCAACTTACACAGTTAGTACTTCCTAGCTAACATAAACCAATAAAACGTGCTAGTGACATACTGACATTTGACATTTCCAAATCAACAACTAGCACGGCTTGTAACATGAAGCTGCTTTCTTTTGTGAAATCAAAAACTTGTTTCAAAAATTACATAGAATTTCAATTGTAATTGAATTAGTTAGCATTAATTTGGGCAACATATGCTGTTAAAACGGCTACTGACATTTTAAAATCAACAACTAGAGCAGCTTGAAATGTGAAGCTGCGTTCGTTCACCTCTGGGGGAAATAGAAGACTTGTTTCAAACATTATGAAGAATTTGGAGCAACAGTAACTAAGAAGGGTGGAGCTTGGCAAACAATGTCACATTACTGTCTAGATAGTACGTCCAGATTTGTGAAAACTCCTGCGAGATTTCATGTTTCAGATAATTTTTACTAAAAACATTATCTTTCCCTAATCCTCCTAACCAGGTGCTTTATTTGCGCCTAAACATGACCAGATCTTAACAATAGTGCTCTGATGCCATATAACATCAGGACAAGAGTATTGTGAAGCAGCTTGTGAGAGTTTCGCAAATCTCTGGTCACCATCTCGTTGTGGCCAAATTTAATGCAATGTATGTAAAGGAGGGCGAGAAAGGTACTGTATTTAGTTATTTGCATCTTCATGTTGAGCTGTATTCAGCAGCGTAGTGATCATTTCAGATGTGTTATCAGAAAAGGAAAACGGGCCTGACAGAAAGAAGAAAACTCACACTCCTCAGAGATGTCGCTCATGTTCAACACAACACCTCAGTCTCAATCTGCTTCTATTCAAGATTTCATCACTCCATAAGCAAACAGCAGCACATGCTGGTTTCATCATGCTGTGTCAGAGGCATCAAAGGCAGCTTGGTTTATGAAGTCCAGGAGGACTGCGTTAAAGGGTTCAATAGACAAATCACTCAGTGCCAACTAAAACCTTCTAGAAAGAGGTTTTATAGGAAAAGCCTTCAGATGAGACAGTCCATATCAGAAACTCCCACTACTCCAAGAAGCTCAAGTTTTGCAGAGTTGTTTTACTTGCTTCACATCAGACTAAAAAAAACATTAATTCTCAGAACATGTTCGGCTGTGATCGCCTCCCCATCCAACATAAAGATGCAAAGCGAAGGACGAAATAAAGCCCTTCTTATGTACTGGGTTAAAGTTACATGTTATTAACTTTGAAATAAATGTTATCCAAGTTTTACACACATAATCAAAACAGAGTTTAAATTACTGAATAAATCATAACTGACAACTCATTATTGTGGCAGACTTTGAATCAGGGCCCATGGCAGAGGGAGAGAGGGAGAGACTGACTGTGGATAAAAATGTTTGAAGTGTCTCCCCTTTGCTCGCATTTGCTTTAAATTTAATGGGCCTAAATTGCAGTAACTCAAAAGCAAATGGGAGAGGCAGATCTGGAGCTGTGCCCACAGCTCTGCCCACTGAGAGAGGTGAAACAGTGTTGGAGAAGAGGTGGTGACAGTTGGAGCTAAAGCAAAACAGACGAGGCTGAACTCAGAGCTATGAGGCACAGCTTAAAAGGGTAAATAAAATCTGATGAAACAATACAGTCAGTCAGCTAAATGACCCTTTGCTAAGCCCCAGCCCCCATTAGTTACAGCTGAACCTTGTAAAAGCATCTTAAATATGCAATTCATGACCACATACATGATATCATACTAAAGACTGAGGCTTAAGCTTCATGTCCCAATTAGCGATGATGATCCATGTACAGTAGAAGACAAAAGATACATTGTTCTTGTACTGTAGGGTAGAGCTAGCAAGCCATAAAAATCAAAATGGTAATTGTTTCAACCTGTTTGGATGCTGACTACAAAACTAAAATTAACCCCCTCAAAGTTGTATGCCTCCGCAAACCAGTCAAGGTTCTCTCACAGTTTATTCTTTACATTTTACATGTATGTGAAAACACAGATGCTTCTCACACATCTTCCCCCAGCACAGCACAGAAGATCTATACAATCAGCACAGTTTCAAGGTGGATAACCAAGATTAGTGTAACCAATTAATTATCCGACCGAATGTAACCCCTGTAACCCCTTTTTGCAGAACATTATGATGTCACAGTGAAGTTGACCTTTGACTTTTTATACATAAAACATCATTATTTCTTCATTTTATCCTACTAGACATTTGCGTGTGTGTTTTCTTTTTTTTTTGTCAAAATTAGCTTATGAATTCTGGATTTATTGTGAGGTCACAGTGACCTTGACCTTTGACCATCAAAATCCAAACAGTTCATTATTGAGTCCAAGTGGGTGTTTGTGCCAAAGTTGAAGAATGTCCCTCAAGGCCATTCTGAGATATTGCATCCACGAGAATGAGACAGATTCATGGTCACAGTGACTTTGACTTTTGACCAACAAATTGTACTCAGTTTATCCTTAAGTCCAGGTGGACGTTTGTGCCAAATTTAAAAATAATCCCCTCGAAGTGTTCTTGAGCCATCACGTTTGCAAAAAATGAGACAGATGTGGTCACAGTGAGCTTAACTTTTTACCTTAACCACCAAGATCTAATCAGATCATTATTTAGTCCAAGTTGGCATTTTATCCATATTTTAAGAAATTCCCTTAAAGAGTTCTTAAGATGTTGTGTTCATGAGAATGGGACTGTCGGATTGATAGACAACTCAAGAACATAATGCCTCCAGCCATGGCTGTCACCAGCGCAGAGGCATAAAAACATCTGGTCAAAGTGACACAGAGTTTAGATTTATGCGTTATTGTTTATATTTTTACTTTTACAAGAGAGAAGGCTTTGAGGAGGAGTAACAACCAACAAGTTCTGCTATTGTAACACTACCTCAGGTAACAAGTTTGGCTGGAATTTCTTGAGCGTAAACTTCCCCAAATCAAGCAAATGTTAAGCACATATGTTTGAGGTAAACGCTCTTGCTCTTGTATTTTTGGTTTTGTAAAGGCTACAAAAAGGCATCTTACTACAGTCCAATAAATACAGCTTTGGCATGTTTAGAAAACTTTGACGGGCTTGCCATGCTTATGGTTTCTATAACTGGCCAGTAGTTGGAGGGGTAGGGTTTATCAAACAGTCAATCGAATGGTTTAATCTATGGCTGCAACTAACCAACCCCTTTTCATTCCCAGGTCGTCAAATACCGATACTTTGTTGTGCCTCTTGGGGTGTGATATCGACACCAAAGGCATCCTTTAGCATCTTTATGAGACACACCGGCTTTCAACAAACTCTAATTTAAAGCCATCCGCAGCAATACTTGACACTGAGAGCAACTGATGTAGTATAAAGAGCGAGACTGTGTATGGTGGTAGGGAGGTGAGGTGAAAGGGTAAAACAAAACCGGACTTTTACCCAAGAGACCACAGTTCAGCTTTCATGAAAGTCAATGTTATTTTACGGTACAATTATGCAACTTAAGTACCTATGTTCCGGGTGAAACCAAAAGTCACCATTGTTTTAGCATTTTTGGTAATTTACGTACATTTGTTGCCCACTGACGTCACTCATGTGACATACTGACGTCATGTTACGTAACAAACGTACTTATTTTATCCCAAAATATGATCTTTTTTCTAAACCTAGCAAAATTGAGCATAGCTTTAGTTCAGGCAGGACACGATATCAAGTTCAGCTCACATCCCAGCTGCATCAGCTGATCTCAAAAAGCCCAATCAACTGATGGATCAGCTGATTGATGGAAAGTGAGTCAGCTGATAGATCACATAATTCCTTTCTATGCAACCAATTGGCGCATCGAAGGGCAGAGAGGTTTGCTCTCTCTCTACCTCAGGCTTTCCTTGTTTGCGCGTGGAAGGGCAGAGAGGTGTACTCTCTTCGCCTTAGGCTTTCAACGTAGGCACGTGGAAGAGGCTTTCTGCGTAGGCCTATGAAAGGTAGAGAGGCCCCAGAACAGAGCCATACCGCCAAATATAATACTGCAAATGGAAATAAAGTGTTCTTTGACTACAGTGGTATGCGTTATAAAGTGTTTCCGCTGTGAGCCCCCTGTGCTTGCCCACTGCATCACTGTAAGATGCCGCAGGGGTGAAACAAGGCATCAGTATATGACAACCTGGCAATAAGAACGACTTGAACTAACAATAATTTTCATTGTCAATTTATTGATTGATTATTTTCTTGATTAATCGATTAGTGGTTTGGTCTATAAAATGTCCGAAAATGGTGCAAATATCAATCAGGGTTTCCCACACACTCTCAAATGTCTTATTTTGTCCACAGCCCCTTTCCTTTTTGTGAACAATGGAGCAAATGTAAATTAGAAAGGTGTCTTTGAAACTCACTGGGTATCTGTTGGATCTTGTGGACCACCACAAAGGCATCAGACAGGCCCACCTTCACCGGGTGATTGACAGAGCTGATCTGTGACACCTCAATGGGGATCTGAAATGAAAGAGGGGAAAATCAATTACCAGAACTGCGACAATCTGTCTGGGGCCGGCTGGAAAATAGAAGCAGGCCACACCAGTCAGACAGCGCTGACAATTCCACCAATTTATTACTATCTCCTATAGGAATCTGCTGAGGCATTATGCAACTTCAATAAACATGTGGGTATATTTGGTGCAGAGAATAAACACTGCAGACACAGACAGGACTAAAGGGAACTACAACTCTGTGAGGACTGACTTATATCACAGAAAACAGACTAAAACTAACATTTATGGTCCAATCAATAGTAAATCTGATATACTGATTTTACACAACACTGCAAGAAAGGAGTTAAACTTAAGTACTCAGTGTCTCTGGGATAAATTCTTAAAAGTAAATGAGATGGAGCTGCAACTCAGCAGCACCAAACAAACCTTGTAATCATCACGGATCACATGAAAACTCAGATTACATGTAATGAGCGGGTTACTCCTTTCAGACCAATAATAGCAGCATAATGAAACACCTATCGGAAAAAAACTCCAGCAGCTCTTCTAATATGTGAAAATAACAAATTACAAAAGGGCCTGAGTCGTAAAAGAAGCAACCCCGCTGTTATAACCATCGCAATTATGATAGATCATTACTAAGTTATTGCAGTCTCACACTCCTACAGCAGTCTCTGTTGGATAATATTCTTCATTACTGCCTCTTTGTCTCCGTTCAATCAAGTTGTTTATCTGGGAATGTTTAAATTTCGGAGATTTACAGACACCACAGGGACACCTAATATAAAAAGGTGTAATAAAATGTCAAATAATGTTGCAGTCAAATTAAGCATAAGGAAACAGTATGAGGACATGAGGTGATATTCTCTTCAGTAGCTGCCATCATTAAACTTATTATTTTGTTAGTCATGCTGGCGTCACCATCTGCATAGTGACCAGAATGAAAACACATCAGCATGGAGCATGGTTTAAGACATTTTACGAAGTCAGACAGAGTAAGAAACAAGAGAGACAAAGATTTTTGTGTGAGCTGTGTGATTTGAAAGGAAAGATCACTTCTGCTTTTGTTCTGTACTTCTATGATGAATAAAAAACGTCGACTCTATCAAATGTTTCACCAAACCCTAAAATACTTAATTAAAAGTTGAGGATTAGGGACGTGTTTTGGCCTGGGAAAATACCAGATGGTTGTTCAGGGTGTCTACAGGTATCAGACAGTTGAATTTAATGCTTCTTAATACCCGTTCAAGACACCTTTAAACCAAATTTAGGACCGATTTTTGGACAAATCATGTTTAACTTATTTAAGTATTGGAGGTAAGCATTGCAGACAAGTAGTATATATGTGGCCTTGTGCAGAGGTAAGAGTTATGTGGGAATATGGTTATTAGAGTGAGTTAAATCAATCTTCAATTTGCCAGCAGATAAGTATGCAAGTATGAAGTAAAATGACAGTATTATAGTTTTTTAAAGATTTGTTACATTAAAAATGTGAACTTTTACATAGAAAGGCTTCAGTCATTCTCACAAAAAGAAATTAAAAATGCATTAATGAAATTAGATAAAAATGTTTGTAGTAGTTGAGACCTCACAATTCCAAATTTAAGACTATTTAATGACTTTTAATGCCTTATTGTTGTAACACTGAATTCAAGACATTTTAAGACTTTTAAGGACCTGTAGACACCCTGTCATTTTTTCAAACCCTATCCCTGATTCTTAATTTTGACCTGGAACCAAACCCTCTGGCTGCCCTTTTTGGCACCACAGGAGAAAATGATATGCACCTAACTCCAATCAAACAGTGCAGACTGTTCTTCGCTTCTCTTCTGGACAGACGTTCAGTGTTGCTGGGGCATTATGTCCTGTGTAAACCTTAAAAAAAATTGTATCTTAGTTTGCAAGACAAACAAAAACTTTCAACTTGAAGACAACAGCAGATGAAGTGCTCATGTGGGTTGCAGTATCATGGTATCCAGGAAGGTGCTCTTTGGTCAGGAAGTGTAGAAGGCCAGTGAGCATGGCCGAAACATGTTGGTGATTTTAATGTTCATCATGAACTAGCCATTTAATAAAGGCCTTTTAACTTTTGCACCAGAGAAGAGTTGCCTTGGATTTTGTTTTTTTCAAAAACTTTCAACAGCTGAGGGGAACTTTTCTGAAATACTGAATACTGATTTTCTCATTCTCTTCTTGTCTTACTGTGAATCCATGTCAACAATGCAATCTGTGTAAGCTTATCAATTCCTAAATCCCCCTTCTCTTTATTTATCTATTTATTTTTTCCTCTCTGTCCTCTCTTGACTTTCAGCAATTTCCGGTATTACTCAAGGAATGAAGTAACCTTTAATACAGTGGTTCCCAACTGGTGGGTCACAGGTCCTTTCTGAATGGGCGACAAGTGACTTGCAAAGTTTGTAAAATAACACATTTCATTTTGAAGTACAGGTCTGGGTCATGACTCGGTTTAGGTTCAGGTGGTCTTGACCACACACTGTTGCAAGCCCATACAGGCTGGCACAGTGCATGCACAATAACAAAAACGTCTTATACAGAAAAAAAAAAAAATCAGACCGAGACAGAAAAAAATCAGACTGACAAAAGGACACAACGACAGAAATCCATTTTCTGTGTGAATCACGGATAATGAAGATAAGGAAAACAGTTTTTCTTTCAGAAACAGTGTGATGAATGAGTCCTGACCTCTTTGTATGCAAAAACAATCCTTCCAGTGTTGTGCAGTGTTGCCTGGAAGGTGAAGCTCCCCAGGTTGTAGTTGTCCTGTAGGTGGACATGGTCCCACTGCACCACCAGAGCCGTGCCTAGAGGAGAAACAATCACATACAGCTCATTACCACATGTAGGACTTCACAGAATCGCCTAGATGAAAGGAAAATACAGGCGTCAGTGATAGCTACTGTCACACTTTTTATTTCTTAACACTGACTTATGTTTCACTGTTTTGAAATACCATCTCCACTTGTCTCAGATCTAGTGTGAAATGAACTGCTGACCGGGCAAAGCCTGTGAATAAGCAGACATCAATGTAACAATCACATTTGTAAGACGAGATGTTTTTGAGGGATTATTTCCAGGCAGAGATTTCATTTCCCCCTGTGGGTGTGAGGTGATTGACACTGAAATAGTGTGAGTGCTGATATGAAAACACTCCAGTGGAGCGGCACGAAACCGCAATAAAACTGAAACTTTGAGAAAACCAAATCAAGGCGTGGCAGTCACTGTGATGGATTATGAAGCGTCGGCAATTTTCACAACAGTGAAAGTTTTTCATTCTGTGCAAGAGCGAATGACAGTGCTGTAAATGACTTCTTGCTCTAGTACAGGAAAATGTTTCCAACTACACAGCAGTCACCAGCAGGAATAAAGAAAAGCAGAGGGGCAACACTGACACTAACATAAAGGATTAGAGCTCTTGTAGTATCTAGTCAGGTGTGTATTGTAGTTTTGGTTTTACTTGCTCAAGTTTTAAGATCTCTGTCTCTGGGATTTCTGCTGCCCCATCTATATAGTGCGAGTGAATGGAATTAAATTTATGGTGCTAACAGCTTTGACAAATTGGATATGAAAAACTATTTTTTTCCAGAAAAAAATGACCTGGTTACAACAAATAACCCACATCTTTTAGTAGTTTTCATTAGTCATTCTACTTTGTACCAAAGAAAGTTTTACGGGGGTGGCGGCAAAAGTTTCAATGCCAAGTATCTTAAAATAAAACTGAAGCCACAGTGTCTAGAGCTTAAAAGATTAGCTGATCATGTGATAAAATGCTCCATGTAAATTAATCTCCAACTTTCAATCAATTGTTTAAGTGAATGTGTGATAGTGCATTGAATAATTTGGGGACTAAGCTTTGATTTTTCACAATTTTCTGACCATTTATAGACCAAACAATTCATTCGTGAAAGCCAGAGTGCAGGACTTTTACATATAAATGAACATCTGATACATTCAAGCCCTTGCCAAACGAGTTCACACAATGCCAATTAAGCCAGGAAATTGCTGCCAGGGAAAGCTTTCTATTTCTCAGTACCAGGTTTTTGGTGGTAGGTTTGTGTGTGCACTGGAAGTGATGCATTTTATGTTTACCAGCCAGAGCAGAAAAGGAAAAAAATATGTACTAATTTATTTTATTATAGATTTATTTTCTTTTGTCTTTTTTACAGTTTGGCACTGCTTTTCGCTTTGTTTTCTCTGTATGTCTGTGATTCTGATGTTTTCTTCTGACAATATGTACTTCGATAGTTTAAAATAAAGATATTAAAAAGTAAGAGGGGAGAGGCCATAGCGACAGAGAAGCAGCTCAGAGTATTGTGAAAGCTATGGCGGAAAATCCTAAGAAGCATCCAATAAAAGTTTCTGGAGTGGAAACACTCAGAAGAAGGGTTAAAGTCGAAAAACACTTGAAGAGAGCGCTCCTGGGGGCAAAGGAAGAGATGCGACAAGCTCAGCTGCATGCATACATTTCTGCAGTAACTCTCACTGCCAGAGGGGGAAGACAAAAATTTTGTACTCCAACTTTAATGAATCCGCAGAATGTTAGTTGCAGCCCTAAATCTGTCTACATGTATAGACACCACCAGGATGCCATGATAAAACATGTTAATTTGTAAAGTAAGTGAAAGTGCAAGTGACCATTTAAACATTGTCACAGAAAGGACTGATCCTGGTTCAGCTTTTCACTTTAAACACTGCCAGGCATCTTAAACACATCTAGAGACAGACTGAATAATTAAGCATATGAACAAATGAGTAAATCCATTGATAAATGAACTACAGAGGTGCACTCAGATCTCCACCAGGTGGCTGCGTTCCGGCTGTGATGCAGCCACCACAGCTGATCACTGGCACTCTTGACAAAGCTCATGCACAGCTACACCCTGAGGAATTCCCCCCCCTGCTCACTTACAGTAAATATGGCAGAGAAGATAACAGAAACAGGGCTTGTTTTCATCTCGCATTGTACCTGACTTTAGTGGATCAAGACATATAGGGTATGGAATTAATCTGCAGATGCTCTGGGTCAAAATAAGACCATACTTTTTTATGGATGTAAGTTTTTGAGCCATGACAAAGGCCAAAATGTGGCCTGCAACTTCCAATTATGCCTTCTGCTCTATGCTTTTGCCAGTTAATAGGAGTGAAGAGTCATCAGTTAACGAGGGTATGAAACTGTCAATGAAACAGGTTTATCAACAATTGTAAATCACCGCAACCATGAGAGGTCCATAACCCTAAAGGTGCATTCAAAATATTAGGCTGATTGGTCCGGTAGTATGTGAGATTAGCTGTGGACAGCCAGAGACACGCACACTCACACACGACCAAACAAATGATCCCCTCCAGGCTTTTAACCCAAGTGGAGATAATAAGTATGAGAGTAACTTAAAAGCCACGTGCTGTAAATTCAAATCACACTTGACCACACAGTCATCATTAGGTGTTGCCTTAATGTGGCTACACACTAAATTAGCACCAGACTCATGGGACCTTCAGCTCTACCCTCCAGACAGCGGGCCTCACATTACTTTTAACACCGTTTTGATTTAGTGTGGACTTTGGAGAACCTATTGATGTGAAAGCCATTCCCTCCTCCGAGCTAGTCATTTGGCTCTGTGCCAGGGCAATAAAGGTTTGTTAACACAACTAATCAATTTTTCCATCACACAGCCAGAGCTCGTCCCTCCAAAGTAAAGATAGAGATTTAGCTTAGACAGTTTGGAGAGCGGAGGCGTTTGCTTGTACAGGAAACCCCATTAAAAATTGGTGTTGTGTGTGTACAGGGCCTCTGGCATTAGACATGGATGCTGCATGAGGTTAGACAGAGTTAAGGGCAGCAAATGCAGGGCACTGGCATTCTCTGGCAATATTGTGAGTGTTTGGATGGGAAATAAGAAAGAGAGAGTACTGAAGATTTGCTGTGTGATGCATTAAAGAGGACAGAGTTTAGGAGAAGGCAGTGAATATCAGAGCCAGGGTAGGACCAGGGTACTAAATTGCTGCGACCTTATGGCACAGCGTGCTTACTCAGTCAGCACAAGTTAAGCCCAATATAAGTCTGCTTAAAATGCATTGAGTTCAGGAGGGGAGGCGACCATGCTATCTGGGGCTCCCTGGCTAAAAATACAGAGTGGGTGAGGAGGTGTGGAGGGAGCAAACACTGGCCTTGTTTCTAATTCCACTTACAAGCTTAACATGCTGTATGAACTCAAAACAAACAAATCAAATCTAGCTCTATTACGCAAGCCCACCCTCTGCATGGTGAACTCATTTAGTGTGGTTTCAGCAGCAGCTTTGTGTTTGGACTTTATTCTGTCCAGTCTATTTTTCATTTAACTTTCCATTGTTATTCATTTGAATATTTATTTTTTTTAAATGTATTTCTTGTTGCTGTTGGTTTTGGATGATTCCCAGTGTATAAATTTTGGTTTTGGATGATTCCCAGTGTATAAATTCTGAATTTCTGATGCGTGACGGGTCTTTTTCACAGCAGAGCAGATTAAATTTAATACCCTTTTGTTTACCTGTTGCCATATATATGCGTCTCCTTTGCATCTCGTCTTGTTTTGATGGAACGCAACATGCAAATCAGGGTAGGTCATTCTTCAGTGCAGCGGGTGGTGGTAATGCACCAGAGGCTGTTTGGTAAATTATTTCATTTTATTTTCTCTTTATTTTACCAGAAATATTCCCACTGAGATTCAAACTCTGTTTTGCAAGGGAGTCTTGGCCAAGACCGCAGCATAAAAATTTCACATCACAGAACAAATATACTAAAAACACAGCAGCAAAAAGCCAAACAGTGTTAAAATTCTCAAACAAAGACAAGCCACAGCCAATTTACAGCCACAATTGATTTAGCAGCGTTCAGTAACGAACCGTGCATTGAGTGGTCAGATAGTCCTTAAAGGGAAATTTCAGTTTATTTTAACCTGTCTCCTATCATCCTAAATTTGTTTCAAGTCACTAGTGACATAGAAATAATAGTTAGCATGTTAGCCGTTAGCCTAGATACAGGAGGAGGAATGGCTGCTGGAAGGCTTTAGCACTGGAGATTGGTGGTGTAACGTTACCTGTGAATGCTGTACCCCAATGCCCACAGAAGAGGAATACCTCTGTTGCAAGGAATGGGACCGGTTGCAGCCTTAGCTAAATGATAAAACAACAAACACGGCACCACACCAGTAAGGTAAGACAACACGTTTACATGTCGTTTTCTATATGTTCTCTGACATTTATCCTAACGATATGAGGCGGTCTTTGTGGAGAAAAAGCTTGTTTAGTGGACTAACTTTGCGCTTGAAGGTATGCCCGTTCAATTATGTTTTAACAGGTCTGACGCTACGGCTGTATCTAGGCTAACGGCTAACATGTTAACTATTATTTCTATGTCACTAGTGACTTGAAAGAAATTTAGGACGATAGGAGACGGGTTGAAATAAACCGAAATTTCCCTTTAATCCTGTTCTTAAAATCTCCCATGGCTATAGTATAATCTAGTTTAACATGACTCTGTAGACGACACCAAGACAAAGGAGCAAAAATCATAAAAGCACCAACAATAAAAATACCAGAAGAACAAGTCATACACTTTCTGCAGTTTAGTTAAAACGGTTAGCAGTTAGCATTACCAAGCTTGATACCTAACAACTATCCATCAACACATATGCACGGATACGTCATACTTGTGAATTACCAACATTCTCCACATTGCTCACCCTTACATAATAATGTCTTATCACTCACATATGTCATTTAATGGTTGAACTGATCTGGGGTCAGATAAGTGCTGCAACAGCTCAGTGCATCTTCGGTATAATCTTTAATCTTAAAATCATCGGAGCCATGTTTCTCTTTGTCTCAAGCAACCACAAGAACAACAACCAAATTCTGTGTAGTTTCAGTCTTTGAATGGTTACTTCCACATACTACATACTGCAGTTACACTTGGGAGGAGTAGGAGTTTTATATCCATCTTGGAGAGACAGATTAATTTGAAATAACTGGCTATAGTGTGTCTCAACAGACTTCCTCAGGTTTGACCCGGTGTTTGATTTCTCTGGACCTGATGAACAACACTTCTCGGCATTAAACCTTTTACCTCTTCAAGGGAGAGTTCATCCCGAAATCCAAAATACGTAATTATGCTTTTAACTGTAGTGCTATCTATCAGTCTATATTGTTGGTGTCAGTTGCAGAGTGTTGGAGATATCAGCTGTAGAGATGTCTGCCTCCTCTTGAATATAATGGAACTAGATGGAACTCGGCTCATGGAGCTCAAAGTGCCAAACAATACATTTGAAAAATTCAACAGCGATGTGTCGGTGAACATTCTCAGTCATCCAGGTCATGGTTATCCTAAGTGCTATATCAAAGGCAACTGGACTTTTCTTGAAGACGTTTCGCCTCTAATCCAAGAAGCTTCTTCAGCTGACTGATACGAAGTTGCAGGCTTTAAACCCTGTTTGGGTGGGAATCAACAGCAACGTCCCTTTCCAGAAATCATAACCCAGTTACTCAAGATAATCCACAGACCTTGTTGTGAGCAGTTTCATAAAGGATCTATTTTCTTTCTACCAAACTACACCTGCTGACTGTATCACTACGCAGAAGGAAGAGTGCATCTACTGCTAGCTCACCTAGCATCACTGAGCTAGCTAACGTTACAGCTCAGCAGTGGAGGATGCCATTATTGTTTATGTCTCATGCTGTCATAAGCACAAGCCTCTTGTCCATGAGTAGATGCACGCTTCCATCTGCACAGTGATACAGTTGGCTGGTGTACTGTGATAGAAAGAAAAGAGTTCCTACATGAAACTGCTCACAACAAGGCCTGTGGATTATCTTAAGTAATCAAGTCATGATTTCTGGAAAGATACACTGCTGTTGAGTTTTTCAAATGTATTGTTTTGGCGCTTTGAGCACCACAAGCCAAGTCTGGTTCCGTTATATTTGAGAGAAGGCAGGCATCTCTACAGCCGATATCTCCAACACTCTGCAACTCACACCAAAACAATCTAGACTGATAAATAGCACTAAAGGTAGGAGGAAAAATATGAATTTTGGATTTAGGCTTGAACTGTCCCTTTAACATAATAAGAAAGACATATTAACTGGATCAGACGACAGTGTTGCCGCTCCTTTAGGAGACAGTGGACTTGAAATGAATCCGTCAGTAAGGTGCTTGCCTGGTACTGTGAATGGAAGTTACAGCAGACTTGTATACTTGTGTTAAACTCTCAAAGTGTCAGACTTGTTATACAGGCTGTAAGAGGTATTTTTACCACTGCAGTGCTGTCACCATGGTCCCGCTGGCAACAACAGTCAAATTCAGAAGTCTGTCAGGTGCCGAGACACTTCACTCCTCTATAATTGTGCACTATCGAACTTCAGTATATTTTTACAGCACTTAAAAAAAAACTAATGTGTTATTCACATGTATTCTTTATTTAGCAGATTTTAATTAACAAAACTAAAGACACACTGTCCCTGTGAAGTTTCACACAGCTCTCACAATCCTGTTTGTGTGTGCAGGACAAACAATAAGCCTCATCAACCTGCTTATAGTGTGATGGAAAGAAGCGTTGACTCTCCCACAACACTACCGACCGTTCAGTTCTTATGCTGTATTGGCAGGACATTGACGGATGGACAGTGTGTTGAGGAGCAGGCGGGCTGAGAATCGATCGGCTGCCAGTTTGGTTAAAGTCTGATGAGCTCCACTGCAGAAGGTCACACAGTTGGTCAGTCACTCTGCTGCAGAGGGATTAATGACTGACATGATGGATAACAACCATTGCAGATGGCAAACGAAAGGTACAGGGAGTGAGGAAGGGCATCAATTTAGTTTAAAGTGAGTAAGTGGAATATAAGGGGTTGTAACGGAGGTCAGGAAGGGTTTCATATAAATCATTTAATTATAAAGACTTCATAGTTTGTGAATAAATGTCTGAGGGTGGCTCATATAGCTTTAATAAGAGCTTGAATTTTAAGATATTACCAGTGTGTAAATTGCCTGGGAGAGGGACCTGGGAGTGGAGTTCTCTGAGGATGCTTGGTGGGACAGTTTAACTCGTATACACACCTCCTCACTGCGTGTACGACACAACCTAATTCAATTTAAAGTACTTCAATGTCTCCATTACTCGAGGGATAAACTTGCCAGAGTCTTTCCTAGCCAGTCCATAGTCTCGGTAGGCAACATGTTCTGGGTGTGTTGCTCTCTCAAATATTCAGTGTATTTTCATATATCTGTAAACAAACCATGACCCCTGATTTTCACACAGCCATCTTTGGTATACCCAAATACAAGGTCAAGGTTACAACTCTGCAGGGGAATGTTTAGCATTTGTTTCACTGGTGGCACACAGACTTATTCTTTTAAACTGGAAGTCAAATAAAGGCCCATCATTCTTACAGTGGTTAAAAAAGGTGCTTTCTCTTCCGCCTTTAGAAAAACTCTGATATAAAGTATGGAAAGCCAGCAAATTTCCTTTTAAACTGGAGGCCTTTTAGACTTTATCAAAGACTTTCCTTTTTGATGAAGGTACTGTTTACAAATCTTTTTCTACCAATTTGTACTTTGTATGTTAAATTAAGCTCCTCATTATTACAGCAGATGCTTCTTTAACAACACTGGCTCTGTGTGATTAGTTGTGAAGTAATTTTTTTGAGCACACCATGAAATCAGTCACGTTGCTAGCTTGACTGTTTTCATGAGTCACGCTGAAATATTTGTGGTTTGGTTCTTATGTTTTTGTATTGTCTGGAGCTTGTTATCACAGTTGGCTGTAGGAGATCTGATTTCACTGTGTCCTTACCAGAATAAAGAGCTGGTTGGAGCCAACAGCATCAGTTTGTGCCTCACACATCGCACAAGAGTACACAACTGCTACTTATTCAGGCAGAAGTGCAATAATTAGTAAAGTGCTGTTACCGTTGTCAAAGTAGATGACAGTAGAGTTTCTGGAGACACTGGGGTCAAAGTTTGCCATCAGAGGAGCGATGTACTGTGTAGCTGTAAGCATCCGGTGGACCACATCCCCCGTGTAGATGAAGCCTGAGGAAAAAACAGACAGTGTTTAACTTTCAGTCCTCTGAATTCTAATTTTGAATGAAAATGGCACTCTCATACTGCTAAAATAATCTATGTGTAATGTTTAATGTATGAGCTGTTTGCACCTGGTATTAACATACACCTTGGGTGGTCCAATCCCAGATGGACAGCTTTAGGTCTGTTTGTTCACACCTGGCATTAGAACGCATCTCTACATGCGTCTTACTTGTGACTGGATCTCACTTCCCACTCTTTATCCAAATGCATTGTTGTTTTCAACCAGCAGGAGGTTTGTCCTGATATACGCACCCATTGGCGCCAATTTATTAGTTTGCCTTGAGGTGACAAACTGCGGGAGATTGTGGATGGCTTTCGAGGAGCTTCACTAAAGTTGAAAAGAAATTCACACATTTAAACTTCACTGATCAATAACTCATAAGCAAAACGTTTTAATCAAACGAGCTGTCCTCCAAGCTGGACAAATGAAATTGGTCTCTATGTGCAGCCAGCTGTGAGACAAGGGCACAGGAACCGTCTACAAAATGCAACACTGAAAAGAGATACTAGAAAAATAGTCAAATCATTATCATCCTACAAGCTCTTGTGGATCACCTCTCTGTGAGTGACACACACACAGAGGTCGTCAGCTGAGTAGGTGGTCCTTCAATGTGGCCCAGGATACATTAACATACACACTGCTTGAAAGAATGTGGCCATATGCACCCCAGCCCATCTCTAAATGTGGTCTGTGTGATTGGATCCCAAGACACACTGACGATGCATTGGGTGCACCTGTACTTAGAGCTGTCCACTTGTGAGCCAATCACCCAAGATGCATTTTAACACCAGGTGTGAACTGGGCCTGTCATAGCTATGTCATACTCAATTCCGATTTTTTTCCCTCAGATCCGATCTTTCTGTCAAGACTGTTCAAGTTCACGCTTAAAGTGACCCGCATCTGACGTAAGTGTGAATGGATCTCTGCTCCGAAATGCCTAACATGCAACCACCAAGGTCATGTGAACATGCGTTCTTTATGTTCTTTATATATTGGGAATATGGGTAAGAAGAGGAAGGAACACAAAAGCCATCCCTATAACTCTATTAGCAGCTATTACTGGCAGTTCTGTGGAGAGAGAAATGTGGGTGCAACAGAGGAGTCATGAGCGGTGGGGCCGCGATGTGGAAGGTTTCACAGAGAACAGTTTCTCAAAAACTTGGAGGATGTCCAGGGGAACATTTCAATATCTCTGTTGGCGCCTCTCGACAATGCTGTCACAGCAGGACTCAAAATGTAGGCAGGCTATCTTCATCTTCTCCTATACTATAGCATCATCGAGCCAGTTCTTCTGTATGATGCCATCTGTTTTATCCATATGCTCACAGTCACCAGTTAGAAAAAAACTCTGAAAGTTAACTCATCTAGCCAGCAAACTCATCGGTATTCCTACCCCCAACCTATCTGATTGTGTCACCTCATCCCTGATTTACAAAGTGCTCACAATCATTCACGACCCAGATCATCCACTCCACCAGTACTTTATCCCCTGTCCCTCTAGACACAGGCGTAGACTACCCATGTGCAGAGGGGCCTGTTTCAGCAAGAGCTTTGTTCCCACAGCCATATGAGCTCTAAATAAGTAACCTCTTTTTGAAATTCAGTCTGTGGTGTGTCAAATGCCAGTCCATGTCTTTGTCTCTTTTGTATTAATTCTGTATGTCTTATAGGTCTGTTCCATGTGTGCACTTGATGCGGAAAGGAATTTCCTTCTTGAGAACAGATATCCATCCATCCATCCATCCATCCATCCATCCATCCATCCACCCATCCACATCAGAGAGCACCTGGCTGTCAGGCTCTACTGGTTGGAGATAGGGGTAGCCTACCACAGCAGCAGTACAGTTACGGCAGCCTTCTGTAGTTTCAATGAACTGTTGCAATACCATATGGAGCGTGATCTGCACCTGCACAGTGAAGTATGATGTGGAAAATCCCTGGATGTATGGGAAATCACAGAAATTCCGATTTGACTGTTCTCACAGCAGTCGCATGGCCAATGATCTATGTATTTGATTTAGGACCACAAATGAAAGTGGCCCAGATCTGATTGGATAAAAATGTATTTCTGTGTCCACACTACTGCAACAAAATCAGACCTGTGTCACATAAGAGCAAAAATAAAATGGATTTGGGCCACACTGGCTTGTAAAGTGAATGAGCTGCTATCATAAAGTGTTGAGAAATAAAGGTGGATTCGCCCTTTAGCAACTCATAAAAACAAACATCAATCTTCTCTCCCTCCATCCCTACTTTCCCTCCCTCTATAAAGCTGTTATCTGATATAGTATCTCTCAGGAAGACTACAAGTCTGCCCTTCAGTCCAGAGTTAAAAGTTCTTCATTAACCCACCACCATCACTTCCCTCTCTGTCTCCGGCCTCATGCTGCAGGCTGCCTCAGCTGCCACGGCAATTAATTAGCGCCATTATCTCTGATCAAAAACAGAAGGGCAAATCTGAGGGGCTTTAAGGGGAGATATGCTGAATGAGCAGTAAATATATTACTATGTCTCCTGGTGTACTCCTTAACATCCTCATGTGCGTGTTTTTACTCTCCACATCATCAATCACGGACGCTAACGAAGAGCCAGTGACAACAAAAAGGGACTGTGTTAACTTTTCCAATTTATGCATTCCTTCAACAAGGCACAAACAGATCTCTCCACAGAGAGGGACGTGCTCAGTCAACACAAACTAGAGCTGCGTCATTTAGCAGCCTGTAAACATGGTTATTAATGGAGTCCAGAAAAGGGAAGAAACGCCCACTATTCATCACGAGGGAACAGTCTTTGCATAACGAATTTGCAATCATGACAACAGAATCAAACAGCATCTTAATTTCCCTACTGACAAGAAAGTTTAGCAAAGTCAGCTGCTATTTAAAGATCTATTCAAAAAGGTTTCTCACTCTGCACAAACATCAAAAACAAACCTTAACACGCGGCTTTTTAACAATCACGTGGATCCAATATAATTTGCGGTTGAAGAGCAGTTTAAAGAATTAATAAGACATTGACTGTGACAGCATCTTGAAAAAAAGAAATGACACATGTTTTATATATTTATTTGTTTTTATAAATTACTCTCATATGATAATTATTCTTGCAACAGAGGGGGCATCTATTTTTTCCCTGATGTTTCCACTTTTGTCTTGTTAAATCTTGTGAGACTGCAGGATTTTATGACAGACAGAGTTGTTCAAACATTTGGTTGTAATCTTCTGATGTAGCTGCAAGAAGATGATTCAGCAACCACTAAAAGTCCGGTCTGCTCTGGGCTGGAAAATAATTTTTAATATATATCAAATCCTTTGAGGAGAATGTTTTAGTGAAACCTCTCACTGTATCTCCTGTTTCCTGTCTTTGTGCTAAGCTAGCTGGCTGGAACTTCCTGTACAGTAATCGGTGTTATTATTCATCTATGGAAGATTCTTCTCAATATCCTAATTTATTATTACTTATTCTACTCTCTCAATTATTTTTAACATATGATGAACATATTGTACACATTTCTTATTCTTATTTTTCTATCTATATATAAATAGTAGAGCCTGACTGGTTTACAGGTTTTATCTGCCGATATGAACCTATCACGAATATATCATTATTAGCATATGTCCTCAGATATACGCTGATAATTCAGGTTATTCTGATAGAATTTGTTCAGCAGAGCACGGTCTAATTTCACTGTTATGGCTTTGTTGGTTCTGCTAACGGTTACCGCAGTTGAAGTACAGCTGGATTCATAAAAATGTAACAGTGACTTTACTAATGTTTGAAACTATAAACCAGCACAAAAATGATGATTACCAACATAAGCCACCACGAATATATCATTATCGGCCAATATATCAATATCAGAATTTTTTTTATTCCCTAATATCGAAATTGGCATAAGCCTTAAAAGTGGCGATCACACGCATGTTTTTTGGGACTGCCCAATAATTTAAGGGTTCTGGGGAAGCATTAAAAAAAATAGACAAAATTATGGAGGTAGATGTCACATGATCAGACCCATTATTATTTTTAGGACGGGTTGTTGTAATAGATTGTATATAATGGAATTGTGTTCCTCTGTAACTGGATAAATGCAACCCCCCTTTGTAATTCTTAGTTTCATGTTAATTAAATTAAATGAAATTATTATTATTTTCATTATTATATAGTTAAGAATATTGTTTACCTCTTATGGTTTTGCTTTGCTTTATTATAGGTCCTATGTCAGGGAATGTTGTGTTATCTGAAAAAAATGAACACTAAATAAAACTTCTTAATAAATTTGTGTTTTTCCCCAAAATATTAAACTATTCCTTTAAATCAGTGTTGGACATGGAAACTATCTGACTGTGAAAAAGTCCCTCGCCTCACTTGGTCTCAGGATGGGCATTTTTTCAAGTATATACTGAATATCACAATAAAATAAATCATAAAACAACTGAGTAATAAATCATTCTCTTGTGAAGGGAACTCTTTGCTTTGCTACAGAAGTTCAACAGAAATACAGTACATAAAGTAGCTGCCTGAGGCTTATAGTGGGGGAAAAAACTGTGCTCTGAAAGAGAAGAAGGTTTTTGGGAAAAGTCTCATTCAGGCCAGACCCATAAACCTCCATTTCAAGTCACCATATGTCTTCTCATACAGTAGGCTGGCTGGCTATAAAAACACATCTATCACGTTGGAAACCAGGAGCAGAGCATATCATGAGGGGAATCAATCTTTCCCTAAAGACCTCCCTGCTCAGAATTACCTCTATATAAAGCAGTGTCAGCACACACAGGGAGAGGAAGAGCAGGGGAGGGCTGGGAGTGAATATGTGATTCTATTCTCCTGTCTGAAGTCCTGACTGTGGAGAACTCTACCTGACGTGAATAAGGGTAAAAGATTCAGTCCTTTATGGCTCAACAGAAGGAGGTGCCATGCTTTCAGTTACATTTAAAAAAGTAGG